CCTGGGGTGACATCACCTGGTGACCTGGGCACGGGAGGTCATGACCTGAGGTCACGTAGGGCAGGTACTGTAGCTGCTAAACTGCGGTCTCTAAAAAATCAGCCCAGAATCACAAATTTGTGTGTTCAACCTTAGGTTATGGCTGGATGTATGGGGGAAACATGTATTATCAAGGTGTAAACCTCCTTGGTTTTATTGTAGAGGCTTCGGGTGCGGCAAACTGACTCCAGTAGCCCCCCCCCCCCCCCCGCATGCTATCTCCCTATTTGGCCGATTTCTACTCTTTCCAGCCGCCTCCCGAAGCCTGGTAGACGCTTAGGGTTAACTCATGAATATAACTTTTCCCGTGTTCCGAGTCGAAGATTTAAACATTATGCTTTGTTCCAATTGTTAGTGAGTGGGTGATTTGTTGGTAAACACTACGAAAACCACGCCGGTGTCTCGCACCGAAGTTACACTGGCTACCAAACGTCTCACACGTGACCTTGGCGGCCGCCAGCCTTACCTCGTGACCCCTGTGGTCTGAGATCTGTCCCGAACTTGACCTTCTCAGGCAGTGAAAGTTGTTTCTCCCACAGCGAAAGTTGTTCCGCCACAGCCCAGACCATCTCCCCCACATGTGGGCGTCAGCTGACTCTGGGGTCATGTCAGGTCAAGCCAACATGGCGGCGCGAACTTTGATCGTTCAATTAAATTTTTTTTTTTAATCTTTAGATTTTTCGGCAGTTGTGGACATCGGAGGGTTCAACAAGGATTGCTAGATTTCACTTGTAAATGGCTGTTTGTAACGCTTTTTTCGTTAAAATTTTCTTTTGTTTTTAGTACAAGCAAGGTACAAGGTATTGTGTTGGGGTTTCCGGAAAAGGCTGGTACCAGACCCGACCAGGCTATCTGCTCTGGGGTTTCCGGAAAAGGCTGGTACCAGACCCGGCCAGGCTATCTGCTCTGGGGTTTCCGGAAAAGGCTGGTACCAGACCCGACCAGGCTATCTGCTCTGGGGTTTCCGGAAAAGGCTGATACCAGACCCGGCCTGGCTATCTGGCCTGGGGTTTCCGGAAAAGGCAGGGTGGCAGGCCCGGTCTGTTTCACTGATACAAGGTTTAAAAGATCACAGATCCGCATTGAACCGTAATAGCTCTTTTTTTTTATTGTAAAAATTACCAAAAAGCGCCAAATCTTAAGCATTCTCAACATCGACATTCAACTGCTACATTGTTACATTCTTGATTGTTACAGTGGTCTTAAGCTGCTACACTGTTATAGTCTTGGTTGTTACAGTGGTATTAAATTGTTACATTGTTACAGTCTAGATTGTTACAGTGGTATTAAACTGTTACATTGTTACAGTCTAGATTGTTACAGTGGTATTAAACTGTTACATTGTTACAGCCTTGATTGTTACAGTGGTATTAAACTGTTACATTGTTACAGTCTTGATTGTTACAGTGGTATTAAACTGTTACATTGTTACAGCCTTGATTGTTACAGTGGTATTAAACTGTTACATTGTTACAGTCTTGATTGTTACAGTGGTATTAAACTGTTACATTGTTACAGCCTTGATTGTTACAGTGGTATTAGAAGGACATTGTGTGCCTTGCCTAATTCAATAGACATGTTTCGTATGGAAACAAGCGTGACTTCCATTGAACAGAACTGCTTCATTCCATTCAGTATTTCTACTGTGTAGATTAAACTTCTGGGAACATTTGGGGGGAAATGTTGATCTAAAACAATTCTGTAATTTCCGGTCTTAAGTTTTACTAGTTAGTTTGACTGCGGATGGTCAGAGAGCCGCTGTACAGTAGTGGTGAGACTCCCGCCTGTCGCCTATGCACGGCCTGAAAAAAATCAGAATTGTCACAGTTAGGGTGTGGATCGGTTTAGTTCAGACATAGTTTGTAACAAGAGCCTTATTCTGACGGATTCTTAAGCTGTGCCATGTGATTACTAGATGAAGGGGTTTCAGGAAATAGATCATTAGAACGGATTCAATAAGTACTGCAGCAGCCTGGCAAATGAAGCAAAATGAGTAGCCAGATCAGGTCAAGATGCTGGAAACAAGTTTAATATAAAAGAACAGGCCAAATATGGATCATGTTGAAAATCGTGCCGTACATGCAACATATCCAATTGAACAAAAGGCGAAATACACCTCGCCCCAACATAGATACCGGTGGCCCGCGTTAACTAATGGTGGCGAATACTAGATAGAAGGGTTTCAGGCAGGAAATAGTTAGGATACAATAAGTACCTGGAGCAGCCTGGCATATGAAGTAATTCATGTCGTGGCATGGAAAGTCGTTCCACTTGTCTTTCGTGTATGCTCTAGGGGATGCGTCGTAAAGGACGCAATCTTGGTTGCGTTCAAGGTTGTTTGGTTGTCCCGGAACCCAGGAGCTGTACGACCCAAGTTCAGACCCGTCCACCCACTCAAACCTTCCCTCTTCGCGCCGATCGTGTAGGCCGATCCAGAAGTAACCGCTGCCCACGTACAGGGAGATGAGGAAGGCGTTGGTCCCGGCGTCTCGGGGCATGGCGAGGGTGCCGCCGTCTGCACGACAGGCCGCGGCCGCTCCGCTGAAGGTCTTGAGTGTGCCGAAGGCCTTGTAGCACATGTCACGCCAGATTGTGTAACCTTTGGTACAAGATGCTGTAAAGAAGGTTTATATTAGCAACATGTCATGGCAGATGGGTCATATTGATATCATGCATTACATACATGCACTAAATGTACCCCCGGGGATGAATTCGATATACAAATAGTTAATATGTACTACCCCCTCCCCCCACTCACACACACACTCACACATAATGAAACAGTGACCTGCATTATCTGTTTTTAAACAAATAACGTTTTCCAATAGACCAACATACAGGGAAAACATAACAGATTAAAACGCAAATTATAATTACATAAAGTCTTCTCAATCTTGTGAAGACGCTGCTCCAAGGCGGCGGTTCGGTTTCGCTCGTTGTCCAGGTCGCGTTTCAAGGCGTCAACAGTGGTGGACATGCCGTCCTGGTCGCGCTTCAAGGCGTCAACAGTGGCGGACATGTCGTCTTGGTCGCGTTTCAAGGCGTCAACAGTGGTGGACATGCCGTCCTGGTCGCGCTTCAAGGCGTCAACAGTGGTGGACATGCCGTCTTGGTCGCTCTTCAGGGCGTCAACAGTGGTGGACATGCCGTCCTGGTCGCGTTTCAAGGCGTCAACAGTGGTGGACATGCCGTCTTGGTCGCGCTTCAAGGCGTCAACAGTGGTGGACATGCCGTCCTGGTCGCGCTTCAAGGCGTCAACAGTGGTGGACATGCCGTCTTGGTCACGCTTCAAGGCGTCTTGGTCGCTTTTCAGGGCGTCAACAGTGGTGGACATGCCGTCCTGGTCGCGCTTCAAGGCGTCTTGGTCGCTTTTCAGGGCGTCAACAGTGGTGGACATGCCGTCTTGGTCGCGCTTCAAGGCGTCTTGGTCGCTTTTCAGGGTGTCGACAGTGGTGGACAGTTTACGCACGTTGTCTTGGTCACGTGTCACAGTTGTCGACAGTTGATATATTTCCTACAAACGTATTTACGTACGTCAGAATACCAAAGAAAGCTTACAAAAGTCAGCAAATTAATTTTTGTACCCTCTTAAAAACAGAATGAGAACAAGAGTTCCACGATCTCATACCTTCGCCAAATGATGTTAACCCTTCCGGTTGACGAATTATACAATTTTAATTAATGATTTTGTAAATAAGAGCCTCACTTGCATGGATTATATCAGTTGATCATATTCTTCATCCAATGACAGCCTTATCTTAACAAAAAGGCTATTATAGCACTTCCACATAAATTATGCAAATGGCGTCATGATTTGAATAAATTATATTTATTGATGTTCGCCTTCACTTAACTTCCAAATGTGGTAAGTATAAAATTCCCTGCAGTTACAACCATGAGATTATAAAAATTTCCCATTATTATGCAAATTAGGTCTTTATTTACATGAACTATATACTCAGATTTTTTTCTAGTTCTCAATTACATGGACTTGGACTTGGACTTAACTCACTTAAGGATATGACAGTAGTGGCGCAAGACCGAAACCTTTGGAGACAAAAAGTCAGACAAGGAGTCGACCTATGCAACAAGGTTGCGGGAGGATCTAAGGTCTAAGGTAAGGTCTCAATTACATGTCACAAGTGTGGTCTCTCAGTCACTGACGAAAGCTAGTGGATACTAGCTGAAACGTCTGACGTTTTCAAAATCATATCCAGTTGCTTGAGTAACTGTTTTTTGGCGTATCGTATTACCTGGATGTCTAACCTTCATCGACGTACCTCATTGATTATCAGAATTAGCTCCTGATTTGCATAATTGTCATCTGATTATGTCAAGCATCACTTCAGCTACCTACATACCAGTATGATGACATTCCGTCAACCGGTTCTTGAGCTATCAACCTTCGAAAATTTTTTTAACAAATGCTCATGCAGTTCCAGAACAAGATGCTAGGGGGTCCAAACTAATGTCACTTCTTCCCTACCGCAAGAGCTATCTACCAACCAAAATTCGTGACCCCAGCATGTCCAAATCGCGAGATATTAAAACCGGAAGTTCTGCTGCAGTACCAACAAAAGCCGCCAGGGGGCCCAGAATCTAATCATTTCTAGGTCTCATGAAGACCTACCCACGTACCAAGTTTCATGACAATTCATAATATGCTTCTTGAGTTATGCTGTTCACAGACGGACAGACAGACGGACAAACGGACAGACGGACCAACGCTACTGAAAACATAACCTTCTTGACGAAGGTAATAAGAAAACGGCTGAACAACAAGCTTTGTGGTACTAGAATGTTACCTGTTTGTTGCTGAACGTGACAGGGGCGAGTCCCACGGCGACCAGGCCAAGCAGCACGGCGATGCCGGCGGCCAGGCAGCTGCGGCGGGCGCGGAGGAAGCTACAGACACCACGGCAGCCGCTCGCTCCGACCGGATACGCGCCGACTGGTATGAAAAATATACTTCGCTCAGGTTATTGTTTACGTCCACATTTGCGCATAGTGATGCTCAGTTTAAACAAATTTACACATGTCATTGTTATGAAATGCGCGAAATTTATCAGTAGGGAAAAATAGCATTATCGCATTGACTTTGCAAATCAGAGCTTAATTTAAGAATGCATGTGCAAGAAAGGGGAGAAACTTAAAACGTTTTACCTGGCATGGTGGCGCGCGTGGCGTCGGGTGTGTTTTCATCGCCGTTCGCAGGTGCCTGGTTATCGGTCTGGGGCTGGTCCATGGGTGGGTCGGCTGGGCGAGAAAACAAAGATGTAATTTAGTCATTTGTGAAAACTCTTGAGTATTTAACCCACAAAACGAACAACATAGGGGCATAGTTACACAAGTCACGAGTATGAAATAGACAAAATTCATCAGTAGGGAAAAACAGCACCGTCTTATTGATTGTGCAAATCAGACCCTCATTTGCATAATTGATGCCTGTTAATGTTCGGCCTGCCATACATTACAAATGGTCCATATGTTAAAGTTACATTTTAAAAAGCAATGTAATTTAATCATTTTCTTATTACTTATGCAACTTTAATACGTTTTACCTGGTTTGGAGGCGTGCACGGCGCCAGGTGTGTTTTTATCGACGTTCGCAGGTGCCTGGTGATCAGTCTGGGGCTGGTCCATGGGCGGGCCGTCTGGACGAAAACAAAGATGTAATATATAGCCATTTGTGAAAAATATAGGGTCTTTAACATACAAAAAGAACAACATAGGGCCTATAAACGATATACCTGAACAACAAAGCACAAAAAACTTTTTGGAAATGAATAATAGGAACTACATGTACTTGCGTGTATTACTGATATAAATTGTTGATTTTCGCTACTTGAAATGTGACATCAACATTAGAGCATTAGAAGGTAAACACATAGTTCTTTGGTGGTTTCTTTCGTGCTTAGAAAAAATGCTTTGGGTAAATTACGAAACAGAGGAGTACTCTTGACAATCTATTCCATAAAGTTCTCAAGAAAAACCTACGCGAATAGTCACAGAAAAATCACGGTAAATACTAAAAAAAAGCTTTAGTGAAATTACAATTACAAAAAAAAAATAGAAAACAGGATGCAAGAAAAGAGAGAGACATCAAACGTTTTACCTGGTATAGATGCGTACGTGGCGTCGGGTGTGTTTTCAGCGACGTTCGCAGGTGCCAGGTAATCAGTCTGGGGCTGGTCCATGGGTGGGTCGGCTGGGCGAAAACAACATGTAAGATGTAATATAGTCGTTTGTGAAGACTCTTGGGCCTTAATATACAAAGTGAGCAAATTAGGGACTATAAGCGATTTACCTGAACTAGAGGCGTACATTGGGCTGAACATTTTTGCAGCGGCGTTCGCAAATGATCGCCAATACGACAGGGGCTGTCGCGTACGTGTGGTGCCTAAAAAAGGAGAAAAAACACGGAAATTTAAATGCAGTCATTCGTGGAAAATATTAGACATTTACGTCGATGAAGGTTAGACATCCAAGTAATACGATACGCCAAAAAGCAGTTACTCAAGCAACTGGATATGATTTTGAAAACGTCAGACGTTTTTCGACTTCCAAAAATTTGTCTTCACTTTATTTGCATATCAATCAATAGTTTGTGCTTATAAACCTGCATTTCCCCTCTGGTCTCTCAGTCACTTACGAAAGCTAGTGGATACTAGCTGAAACGTCTGACGTTTTCAAAATCATATCCAGTTGCTTGAGTAACTGCTTTTTGGCGTATTAGACATTTAACACATACAACACATACAAAAATAACACATACAACACATACTAAAAATAACAGATACAAAAATTAAATAAAGACTAATCAATTTACCTGCATTGGAGGCGTACATAGGGTTGGGTATTTTTCCAGCGGCGTCCGCACGTGATCGCACTGACTGAGGCTGCTGCATGGGTGTGTTGCCTGAGACAAGTGAACAAAATTTAATTAGTCATCTGCGGAAAAATAACATAAGTAAAAGGAAAAGAGAAATTATAAATTCTGTACATGATTTACCTGCAGTGGAGGCGTACATAGGGTTGGGTATTTTGGCAGCGGCGTCCGCACGTGATCGCAGTGACTGAGGCTGCAGCGTGGGTGTGGTGCCTGTGGACAAGTGAAGAAAATGTAATTAGTCATCTGCGGAAAAATAACATAAGTAAAATGAAAAGAGAAATTATAAACATGATTTACCTGCATTGGAGGCGTACATAGGGTTGGGTATTTTTGCAGCGGCGTCCGCACGTGATCGCCAATAAGGCTGAGGCTGCTGCATGGGTGTGGCACCTGAGAAAAATAAAGATAAATTCATAAGGAAGATAGGGTGTTTGTCTTCGCCTAATCGTCAAATAATTAGGACTGAGCAAGAATTATTTCACAGTTGAAAAAAATCATGAAATACAAGGAACAAAAATACCTAAATACGAGACAGCAATTCGATACGGGCGCTAATGACAAACAAAATTATTGAAATTCTTTTTTTCTCAAACGTCTGAAACAAAAAGTTTGCCAAATTATACATGATAACCAACTTGTACACCCTTACCAGTGTCACCAGCCTGAGACGGTTGCTCCTCTTCCGACATGATGACACTTTAGGTTTCTGGACAGCGAAAAAACACGCCCTTCTCCTGGCAAGACTGTTGTCGACTGACGTAGAGTCCTAGACAAAAATTAGTCTAAACCCAGATCCCATAATCTGAGATTGAAGTCGCTCAGTAAAAGAATGACTTCAGAACAATACTTTGAGACCTCAGTCAGTTCAGATGCGGAATATTGAAAATGACATACAGTGTACATGCCTGCTGATTTTCCCCTAAATTTAGGCAATTAGTAAATGTTACACATGCACACATTGATAAAATTCTCTATGAACCCCAGCGCGGTAAAGTTTTCAAGGCAAACGATATGTAAGAGCGGAAAACGTTCAGCATTATTTTGTTAGGAACAAACGTAACCTTTCAAAGTTTTACATCAAGGAACAAAAGATGCAAGTACCGAATTAGACGTGAACACGTTGTCGGTTATTGCTAGACGTTTGGCAAACAAAATGAGTGATAATACCCGTCCTTACGAGTTTATAAAAATTGTTTAGAAATCGTAATCATGTATTTTTCACCTTATGCCACAATTTTGTCGCCATCAGCTTGTTTAACCAAAATGTAATATCTAAAAGATATCACCACTACTTGCTTTTTCGTCCGTTTCGTTACGCCCACAATGATTGTCTTGCTGCTAAGCTGCCAGAAGATCACGTGGATTACTTTATCAGAAAGGGGTTCGCTCTTTGTAAATCTTGTGAGAAATATGAAAATACTTCTTTTTTACCCTTGTCCTGCTGGCAATTTTTACACAATATCTTTAAATAATTTCATGTCTTAATCAGGTTACAGACCCTTGACTTTTTTGCCCTGCGGCGGCGTAGTTACTTCCACATTCGTTGCGTTTCGCTGCGGTGTGATGCGTTGCACGAGAAACACCCCCAAATCGCACATATACAGGGCACTATATAGATGGTACTGTATGTGCAACCCATATATATATATGGGCCCCGCAGGACAAGGTTAAAATTAGATGGGAGTCGCGGAGACACTTAGTTCTCTTCGTATCATTCAGAGCTGATGTTGTCAGTAAGACGGATGGTACTCGTAAGGATGGCAGTGTTTAGGGACTTCCATAATTGACTATGGATACTGACGTCGATACCATATCAATTTCACTATGTTGCAAACGTAAGTAACAATGACTGGACTGGACAATGCGTGGGGTCGTGTGGCGTAGCGGCAGTGCACGCGACTCGGAACTTAGAGTCCCGGGTTCGAGTCCTGACATGCCACCGATCTTGTGCCCTTGGGAAAGGCACTTTACACGGCTTTCCTCACTTAGCTCAGGTGTAAATGAGTATTGTCCTGTCATGTATTTGTCCCCTGTGTTGGTGGCGGCATTAATATAAGTTGAAAAAACTTGAGTGTGTCGTCACCGCGTCTGGTGATTACATGTTGGAATAAAAAAAAATGACTGGACAGTACCCTCTGTCGTCCTACCCAGATCATTCAAAGGATAGACTATTGTTCACAAGACATGCAAACAGGCTTAGCAAAATACTTGAGAATTATTCTTAATATAATTTTTGCTAGAATATTCAGTACGAACACACAAATAAGATATGCCCTTTGGTTAAGGTTTATTCATCTTAGAATTCATCAATTCATCTTGCTACTCTTGCTTACCCAACATTACTTTTTTCTTTTTTTCTATTTTATTTTATTTTATTTTATTTTATTTTATTTTATTTACCCAGGGGCAGTCTCAGGAGTATATCCAGAAACGCGCGTGTCGGGTAATTATAATACTCGGGTCGGCTTATACTTCATACCCCGAGGAATGTGCAACACTGGACTTATCTACGCTAGAAGACCGAAGGGTCCAACTTTGCCTGAACTTTCCTAGGAAAGTTCTCCGATCACAGGACTTCCAACACTGGCTACCGCCCAGGAGGGGCACCACCACTGAGCGCACCACTCGTTCCAGTAACAAACTGACTCTTACCAAATGTAGAACTGAGCGGTACAAACAGAGTAGCGTCCCATATATGATCCATCTGTTGAACAGTCACTGTTTGAATAAAAGACTTGGGTGTGTAAAACTCCATATACCGTCAGATAAGAATTTTTGAGAACTCTTTTTTTTACAACTTTCTATTCCAGTTTCAACGTTGTACCCTTGGGAAAGGTACTTTACACGACGATAGGACATTAAATGGAGGTCCCGTGTTGGGGAGAGCCATACCCCAAGCACGTTAAAGAACCCACCACACTTATCGAAAAGAGCAGGGGACCTTCCCGGTGTGAGTGGTTCAAACCTTACAGTCCGGTCTCAGGTTTGACATCTTTGAAAAGGTGATAGTCACCTGTTATGTCAATCCTTCCACAAATGTGGTAAATCTTCATAAATAAATAAATAAACGTCAACAAATCACCACTGATGTATGTGGAACTCTATAGGAAAACCACTTGTAGAAGACTTTCCATAGAAATCATCAACACAAGATTGAAATGGCCTGGCCATGTTTTAAGTATGGATGACAATAGAATACCCAAAAGCCTTAAATTTGAGACGCGATGGTAAAAGGAAACGAGGAAGACCCAAAACTACTCAGAGAAGACCTGTGTCGGATGACCTGGCGTCTGTGGGGTTATCCTGGCGATCAGCTAGAAAGCTGGCCGAGGACAGACCCAGATGGAAGAAGTCGCGCCCTTTAATATGTCTTGTCGTAAGGGATAAAGAAGCTAAGTATTACTAAGTAAGTATCTTCACGGTGTTACGAGACCGACGAAATGCCGAATAAGTACTACTTCAGTCCAAGCCCCCCCCCCCCCCACGCTTCTTCTCGCATCAGGCTTTATTCTGTCCTGATGAAAACTTTCCTCCTGTCTCCAACGATTCCTGATTAACATTTATAACATTACATATGATATGGAAGGTCGGCTTCCTCGGGTTTTAAAGGAAGGATTTTGCTTCCACTCGTCAACAGCACAGCGTTGGAAACTGCTGGAAAGTCCCGCGTATTTTTAGCCGCTGCTTCACAAATAACACCTTTGTTCACTGCTGACACCTGATGCCGCAGGTATTCACAATGACGTCAGGAGGTCATGGGTCATGGGGAATCCCCTCACACGTCGGGACTTACCAGTGTTCCTGTTGTTAAGGACAACACAGATGAAAACACGGCCGACTGTCCTTTAGAGATGGTTCAGTGAACATCAGTGGGACCACTGGGCGACAGACTAAGGCAAAAATCTATCCCTTCGGCGTTTTTGTGCTTTGTCTTTCCACTTTCTTGCACCGGTGTAGCGGAGGTAAGTCGAACTAGAGACAGACTTAAGATTACGTCACCGCACCTGGTATTCCCCCGCCGACACTTCCGCATTTCGTGGCGACCGAAAGTCGTTTCCAGACCACGTTAGTGACTTGTGTTCTCTGTACCATTACCAGCCCGATCACCATGTCCAACATGCTGCGTGTTGCGGGGACCCTTCTCCCTGCAGACGTGCAATGCCGGAGGTTTGTGGCGGCTAACAGGTATGACCTGGCCCAGACGGGGTACGGCCGCGCCCTTCTGGCCGCCATGTCTGATATGGACAGGCTGCAGGAAGTGGAGGTACTGAAGAGCCTGGGAGACTTGAACGTGGAGAAAGGAAGACTCCACAAGACGGCAGCTCCGCGGAACTTGGAGCGGGGCCTGAACCTGTACAGGGCCGCGCTGCTCCGGTGTGAGGACCCGGGGGAAGGCGAGTCTCTCCAACATAGGGTCAAACTCGCCGAGAAACTCAAGCAGAAAATATCCATAGCTGGATCAACCAGGAACACAAGCATTAATTCTGTTGCAAGGACTTCAGAAATCTTTCAAGACTTGGACAAGAAACGGGCTAACGGTGGCCACATGGACTCCATCTTAGAGGGCTACACGAAGAGTCTTATAGAAGGAATAGCAGAGAGGAACGTTCTGTTAGAAGTAGAGGCTACAAAAAGTCTCGGAGACGTGAACCTTAAGAGAGGACGAGACTTAAAGGAGCCCAAGCACTTGACCAAGTCTACAGCCCTGTACAGCACAGCCCTGGAGCGATGTGACGATCCACATGGGAAAACCGTCCTCACACATCGCTTACTGCACGCAGCAAAAGTCAGGAAGGATATGGCGGAAAGAAGGAGACGGGTATGTTTTACTACTTACATGTAGATCCTACAAGGTCTTGTGTTTTGGATACCAGCCATAATGTCTTAGAGGTTGCTGTGCCTCACGTTATGACACTAACTACTCGCCTCTGCTATGCAGTATATGCTGCATACAGGTGTAAGTGATCTGCCACTCCCTTTGTTATTGTCACCTGTGTACCAACAAAGCTCCTGTGTTTGTGGTAACCGATGACCTTCTGACCTGTGAGGTGTCACGTTCACTCAGCCTACTGTACGTTTGTCTGGGTAGACAGTGTTGCATTACAGCAGGTGGTATACAGTGTTAGTCTTGCGTTTATCAACGGTTGGCTGTTACCATTCACTTATGAATAAGTAGACAGTGTTGTATTACAGCAGTGCGTATACAGTGTTGGTTGTATGCTTAATAACGGTTGGCTGCTGTCGTTCACTTATGAATTACATAATATTGTTGTATTACCGTTGTGCGTTATGCATATATTGCGGGATATATCTATTGCAGTATTGCCTGTTATCGGTTGCGTGCCCGTACCCAGGACTTTGAGGGGGGGGGGTTCTTCCCACTGGCTGAGCGCCGTAGGTGCGAGGTTTCTAGGGGAACCTTCGAACCTTCTGAAATGACATTTCGTGTTTTTGAGAGGATTTTAAAGGAAATATCAGAGTTAATATTTAATCAAATGACAAAGTGATCGTTTTTTTTAGGTTTTTAGGATTCGAACTCTGCTGGTGATACAAATCAGTCCACCTTTTAAAGAAAAATCTTGGACCTTTAAGATAAAAAAGTGGACCGTTGAGCCTTGCTTATCAATGGGTGAGGTGTTTATGTAGTTCATACATGTGTTAAAGTTGGCTTTTTGAAGCTGTTATTGTA